ATTCACGATGCAACTGGACCGCCCTCTGAGAGGGAAGGTTTAACATGGTGTCCTGCACAAGCAGCGGGTTGGACCCGATGGCCCTCTGGCCTCTTTCAACTCGATGATTCTGTGATTCCCTGATTATCAGCTTCACTTCACTTTGAAGTTAAAATACTGCCCATATTCCAGTGTTTGCATTCCACTCCTCCTGTCTGCATTCTGAGCCTGGCAATGCCCACTGGAAAACGAGTGAAGTAATTTGGAACACTGAAGAAACTGCTCTCACTGATTGACAGATATCTGATAATGCAAGCGAGGACAAGGAAAACATTTGCTGGAATCCTGGGCAGGCTTACTCGGAAGTAAGCTATTCTGAACATGCTTTCATTCATTAATTTGGAAAATGTATGGTATTTTTTAGCTGGTGGACTTTTTTTCTCTGAATTGTGTAATAATACATATCTTTAAAAAAAAAACAGAAACAAGGTATAGTTGTTAGAATTAATGTTTATTTTAGAGGGCTTTCACAGGGGGACTTCTGGAAGTTTGTGCTCTCTATAAAATACAGGGAAGGAGCGGGGCCATTTGATTTCCCTCCTCTGCCTCTGAAATGCCTTGGGCTTTCTCTGAATAAAGAATTTTCAGGCTATCATGGGATATGATGAGGACTGGAAACTTTTCCATCTTAAGTAGAAACTGTATGGCTAAGGCTGGAATTGCAACACTTGCAACTGCACAGTGGAGGTGGCATATGTTCTCAGTTTAAATTATACCTGATTGATTAATCATCTTGTTCATTATTTTCTCTTGAGTGCTAAATAAAATTTTTAAAAAGCATTAACCCCCATCCCAAACAACAACAAAACCAAAATTCCACCCAAAAATTCCTCTCCAGGGAAACCTCCCCAGGCTAAGTCGCAGAGCTTGTGCCAGCTTTGTGTGAAGTAGACGCATGCCTTTGGGTGCCAGGCCGAAGAGGGAGGGAAGCAAATCTTCTCCTGGAATATTGCTGGGATTCAGCAGTGCTTATTGCTGACACTGCTCTTGGCAGGTGTACATCCAGCTGGGGTGTGAAGCGAATCCAGTTAGGTAGGAAAATTGGAAGTTCTCCCTCCAAAGTCCTTAGCTAATCCCTCTTTCTCATTCAAAATGGGGCATGATCCACTAGGAACTTCTGCAGCATCTGTACTGAAATCAGTCTAATCTGAGGGGACCTGCATCAAGGAAGTACAAGCAACAGCTGTTGAATAAAGCAGGCTGTATCCAAAGAGTGAAGCTTTACAACCCTTTACTGCGTGATAACCAGTTTGCAACAGGATGTTCATCCACTGGAGATTCCTAGCGTAGATTGCCCACAGTTTGCTGGCAAAGGAAAAGGTCCTTCTCTGTTCAAGATCGCAATGGGCCACTGCTGGTCAGAGCAGGCAACGATGGGGCTTGGCAAGGGGCGTAAGGCAGCTTCGAAGTTTACATCCACTCCGTGTCAATGTTATTTTTCAGTCCAAGTCTGATTCATGCTGTTGCTGCTCATGGTGGTGGTGTTGTTTTGAAGCAACCAAGCAAATGCGACCTACGGGATTCACTGGGTTATGCAAAAGCCACCTGTTAAAGCAACCTGATCATAATCTTCAGCTTTCCTCTTTTTCCCACCCTCCTCTGCCTTTTCTCCACTTCGTTCCATGGCTTGTTTGTTGGTGTTCCACTTGTCATGTCTTGTCCTGGATCAAGCTGGTGGGCAGTGGCACACGTCTCTGGTATCTGCATGTTATCAGTGCAGAGGGAAGAGCCTGAAACCTTGACCAAAAACCTCTGTAGATGTGAAGTGAGCTGATGGAGCAGCTTGGCAGGGCTGTTATCACCACCCACCAGCCCATGAGATCAGCTGCAGCTCCTTCTGCCCTCTCCTTCTAAGCCTGGGACTGTGAAGAACCAGAAGACATGGCCACAGATAACTCCATGGGTCGCCGTTGCAGCCTTCCCCCATCTTGTGTCTCCCATTGGTTTCGAACTATCCATCAGCTCTATCCAGTGTGGCTGATGATCAGGTGTGATCATCTGACTTCTGGAGGCTGCCAGATGGGAAAGACTACCCTAATTTATTGTACATTTTTATGGATTTCCATTGAAAGACATTTTGGAAGCCCACCTAGGAAGAGTGCACAGCAGTGAAAATAAACAGATAAACATAGTTTTTTCCTAGGGTCTTTAGAAAGCTCACAGTCTTGTTCCTAGCATGCAATGCTCCACAGAAGCACCTCACATTCTTGCCTCCTTGTCCGCTTCCCAGTTTTCTTCACTTTTATTTCAGGGTCTCCTTTGTCTCTTTAATTATCCCAAGCTCTCCAAGTCATTTTCCATATTCCATAATTCAATGATAGGGGAACACTGGTAAAAGATCACTGCTCATTGGATACTATCCTGGACACGGCTTGACCTGTTCCTCACTTAAACAGAATAAGGTGGCAGAATTCTGGGCTCTGTCACTTAGGATGTAATGATTTTGAAAACCTTCCCATCTACAAAGCTCCAAGTGTCTAGCAGACTTGAAGTCAAGACATGGGCAGCACTAATCCTTTATCAGTGATGTATTATATTAGCCTACTCACTCTGCAAGCCTACACATGTTCAGATGTTCAACTGTGCTTACTCCCAGGTAAGACACTGGGAAGGGAGGGAGCATTCTGCATGTTGTATTCTGGGAGATGCCAGAGATTGATTGATGGATTTCATCTCTGTGCTGCCCAATACCCAAAGTCATCTGGGCATTTTACAACAATTCATAAAAAGAGAAACCACAACTACGATAATGGTAGCATGCATTTTTGCCAGTATAAAGACTTACAGACTACTTAAAAGCTAAAACAGTGCTTGTATTTTATTGTTATCTTATCTTTAATGTGTTATTGGTTTTTTATGGTGCTTGTATAGTGTTTTTATCTTGTAATTGTGAGCCACACAGAGGTGCTGTGGCAAAATTGGGTGGTATACAAACGTTTCAAATAGATAGATAGATAGACAGACAGACAGACAGACAGACAGAACAAGCCTGCTGAGAGCAGGAAGCTTAGTTGCTCCATCATGCCATTGCTGCCAAAGTAAGTACACTGGTCCATCCAGAAAGGTCCATCTCTCTCCTCCCTGCTCAGATGGACTTGTGTAAGACTGAAACCCAGGTCTGCACTCAAGAGTTCTGTCCCCAAGACCAGTAAAGCTAACCCAGGTTTATGCTGAGAGGGTCATTCTAGTTTTCTTTTAATATTGATTATGACCACAGTACTTCGTTTATTCATTTTGCACTGTTTTCGCATTACTTGAAAACTTTTATGGACATGTTTAGCTCTCTTGTTTTTCTTTTTAACCTTGTGGGATTGCATTGCATTTTCCTCACTCTAAGCTCCTGTTGCAGGGGCTGAAACAGCCTGTAAATAGAAATCAATAGATAATTTTGCCCACTGAAGCCCAAGTGGCAAATACTGGCAAATTGCAAAATTGTTTCAATTGTGTGATGGATTTGTTAGGTGGAGGTTGAATTATTGGAGGCATCAGATCAGTCCCCTTCCTTCAAGGTGAGCTTCAGTTGGGCACAGCCCTGGGCAAGCCGTTTCTCTCATCCCAACTTACCTTGCAGGTGTGTTGCAACAATCACTGAGATAAGAGTAGTGGAGTATTTTGTTCTCTAAAGTGTTCAGCAGAAGGGGTAAATAGTAATTATTTTGCCATCTCCCAGTTTAGAATCACTGTGAGAATTTTGCCTGTGAGAATTAGATTTCCCTCCTTAAAGCTATCAAAGCATTCTCTCCCTCATTCAAAGATGAAATGCAAAGGGAGGTTTTAAAATAGCTCTGTTTTTAAAAAGGCAAAACTTGGCAACTTTTCATCTGTGAACAAGGCATGATTTGTGCAAATATTTATATTCTTCCTGTTATTATTGGCTTTAATGCTGATTCCTTAATGTTTTCAAGGATTAATACTACATTATTTTCTACTTCTATTCTGTTTTTATTTGTGGTGGTGTTATTTTGATGCTGTTGTTCTGTTTTATGCATGCAAAGTGCCCCGGGGGTTTGGCTGCTATACAGATCCTACAATCAATTGTGTATTCAAGGTTGCTTCCCACCTGCACCCCTTTTCAAAACCTAACAGCATAATTAAAATACAAGAAAATATTTAGATTAGTAACAGTGCAATTTTAGGCATGTCTATTCCAAAATAACTCCCAATGAATTCAGTTAAACTTATTCATAGGCAAACATCTACATGATACTCACCTAAATACAAACTCCAGGATATCAGCAAAGCATGTGAGTAGAACATAAAGCAATAAACAGGTTCAATCAGAATTTCAGAAGCAGCCATAGACTCAACCCCTGGGAAAAATAAATTTGTTTTCTAAAATGATATAGAGGAAGCACCACATGGGCATGTCTAGAGATGGGTGTTCTAAGACCTGCCATGGAAAAAAGTGTTCTATTTGTCATCCACCCAACCTCCAAAAAAGAAGGGATTCTGAAGATCTTAAAGAGAAAAAGGAGGATTTCTATAATAACTAATACTTGAAGCTGTTCACAGCAATCCACAAAAACAGCCCATAAATACAACAAAAACACCACATACAATTTTCAGTACACAGAATGTAAAAGCAGTTTAATGGCTAAAGCAATTTCATTGCAGTCCAGACCTGCTCAAACAGCTGACATAAATGTCACTCAATGCCAATAAATGCTGGGAGAACAGACTGTCTTCACCTGGTGCTGAAAAGATGATTGCATTGGCACCAGGTGGACTCAAGATGGGGCAGGAACATACCACCTTGGGAAAATTTGCAGGGGTGGGGGGAAGAAATATTTTAAACACATCAATAAGATGGGTGGGCTTTCCCATAGCTGAGTCCCAAGCTAGAAAGGATTTGAAAGGCAGATGCCTATGCCAAGTTCAGGATCATACCCTTGCTCTTTGTCTAAAAGAGTGGCCCCAATTCATCCTGTGACCTCTTTTCTCCCTTTTCTTTTCACTGATAGGAAATGAACGGAATGGCATGGACTTCAGCAGACAGGTAAGGCCCACCAAATGCTCTGGCTCAGCTTTGTTGGATTGGTTGGTGGTGGGTTTCCTGTGACCCAAGGTTTCATGAAAACACTGCGAGAAGGGACCATTCTCACGCAGCCTCCTGGCAACAGGGTGAAATAGAATGCTGAGTCTTTCGCAAATATCTGAAGTGGTCCTGTGGCCAAAGGTGCAAATTTCATTCCTGGTCTAAGAAGGGGCCAGGGTGCACAGCCAGATTTATGGTGGGCATTAAGTTTGAAAGGGCTTTTGCAGATCTGATAGCATGGAAAGAATATGGGCTCATTTAACCCAATCAGGTGAAATATTTCAGTTCTATGATTAATTTGTGAGGATCAGGTTGAATTATTTGAGGACTTATTACCCCATCTGAAAGATTGCCATTGCAAACACAGAGCCTTGTATCCCTGCACTGATTGGTGTATCACTGAGATAATCTCCGTAGTCCCTTCCCTCTCGAAATGTCTATAGCTGTAGCAGCATGGCATTGGGCCTGCAAACTGCCATGCAAGGATCCCTGGCCCAGGTTCCCTTCGCTTTGTCTGGAGGGAAAAGGAGAATTGATCCCAATCTCAGTTTTCCACCTGAGCCTCTTCCAAGGCATGAGCAAATTCATTAGATGAGAGTCTGGCTAGGAGTCATCATCAATGGCGCTTTTGTTCCCTTTTTTGGTGTGCCCATCTTGACAGGTGTTGACTCATGCATGTGTTGGAGATAAGCAATTGTTTGTGCAGAAAAACACCTGCAAATGTCTGTGACTAGCTTGATGGATGTTGCTTGCAGGGAAGCATCTGTATGAGACGCTCGTGATGAGACCCAGAACTAAAGCAAACTGGTAGAAATCCCTGTGTTTTATAGCTGTTGAAGGGATCTCTCATTTCAGGTTCTGCAGAGTGTGGTGAAGTTTGAATGATCTCACAAGTTGCTTTTATAACTACACACACACGTGCACACACACACAAACACACATACTAAACCAGTATGTTGTTGGGCTAAATGTGCATCTTTGTGCATGTCCCAGGGAGTGACAGGTTCCACCACCACTGATAGCTTCCCCTCCTGCTCAGCCCAGCTGAAGTGGTGGAGACTCTAAGTGGTCATTCGAAAAGCTCCACTCTTGGATGAAACTGATTATCTGGACCCATTTCAGTCCGGCATCAGACCCGGGTATGGTACTGAATCTGCCTTGGTCGCCCTGTACGATGACCTGTGCAGGGAGAAGGACAGGGGGAGTGCGTCCCTGTTGGTTCTCCTGGACCTCTCAGCGGCTTTCGATACCATCGACCATGGTATCTTTCTGTATAGGCTAGCGGGATTGGGGGTCGGAGGCACTGCTTTGCAGTGGTTCCACTCCTATCTCAATGGCCGATTCCAGAAGGTGATGCTGGGGGACTATGGCTCTGTGCCATGGCAGCTATGCCATGGAGTACCACTGGGATCCATTTTGTCCCCTTTGCTGTTTAACGTCTACATGAAACCGCTGGGAGAGGTCATCAGGAGGTGTGGGCTGCGGAATCATCAGTATGCTGATGATACCCAGCTCTACCTCTCATTCTCCACCAGTCCAGGTGAGGCAGTGGCTGTGCTGAACCGGTGCCTGGCCGAGGTAATGGGCTGGATGAGGGCCAATAAACTGAAGCTCAATCCAGACAAGACGGAGGTCCTGTTGGTTGGCGGATCAGGCTTCGGGGAAGGTGAATTGAATCTAGTCCTGAATGGGGTTGCACTCCCTCTTAGGGACAAGGTCCGCAGCTTGAGAGTGTTCCTCAATCCAGAGCTTTCACTGGAAGCTCAGGTGACAGCGGTGGTGAGGAGCACTTTCTTTCAGCTTCGGCTGATCCATCAGCTGCGCCGCTACCTGGAGAATGACTGCCTGGTGACAGTGACACACGCATTGTTGACTTCCTGACTTGACTTCTGTAATGCGCTCTACGTGGGGCTGCCCTTGAAAACGGTCCGGATAATTCAATTGGTTCAAAATAGAGCTGCCAGGCTGCTGATGGGGACTGGGCGTTATGTTCACATGACTCCAGTTCTCTGTCAGCTTCACTGGCTTCCCATTGAAGTCTGGCCCAATTCAAGGTGTTGGTTATGACCTATAAAGCCCTTAATGGCTTGGGTCCTGGTTACCTGAAGGAGCGCTTACGTCCATATATGCCCACCTGCCCCTTGAGATCAGCAGGAGAGGCCCTTCTCTGGGAACCCTCCGTGAAGGATATTAGGAGGGTGAGTACTTGGAGGAGGGCTTTCTCTGCGGTGGCGACCAACCTATGGAATGCACTCCCCAGAGAGGTCCGCCTGGCACCATTGTTATTTGTTTTTTGGTGCCAGGCGAAGACCTTTTTATTCAAATGCTATTTTAATTGTTAATATTATTAATTTATTTTATTCTTTGGCCAGGTCGACTTAATTTATACTGTTAACATAATATAAAACAATGTAATTTATTTATTTATGATTGTGAGCCACCCCAAGGCTTCGGCAAATGGGGTGGCATAGAAGTCCCCTAAATAAATTAAATAAATAAATAAACTTAGCCGCTAGAGACAGACTGCTTTGCCCTAGTCCATATACGGTTACTTTGCATCCTCTGGAATGTAATTTTCCCCCTTTCTGCTTGAAAATTATCCCCGTGGCAGAAACCCAGCTGGATTGGGCCAGTCCACAATTGGAGCCAAAGGCTCTCCTGCACTGTGACTGAGCTCTGGTCAACAATAACCAGGTCCATGGGCAGCTGCCAACACTGCCACTTGAGCTTCCTGGACAGCAAGGCATAGGAGAGAGCTTTCCATCCCCGGGCACCCTCATTTGGGTCATGAGCTTCATGCAGGTCCATGCATACTTCATTACTCTTTGGTCCTGGCTCCTAGCTTGCTTTGGACCTTGCCTCCTGGGTTGCTTCTTTGTCCTGCTTCTTGCTATTGCCTGTTTCCAAATCTCATTCAAAGAGTTGTGCACGAGCTTGTCACAACTTTGTTTCCTCCCATGTTGCCAGGAAGTTGGATGCTTTGCTAAAATCATGAAAAATCATGAAGACTTCTTCATGAGTGTATGGAAAATAGCATCCCCATCGTCTTGTGGCGTGCACATCCTTTAAACATCAAACAAAACAGATCTTGCTATGAATACATCAAGATTTAAATGTATTTTAAATATTCATTTTGTTTAGTACCTGAAGGCACCAAAGGCCTTGGCAAACTGCACATACTCCCATTTCGTACATTAAATTTGGGAACCATTCCTGCTTTAAAACAAGAAAGTAAGGCAGCGGAAAAGAACGGGGGAAATGCTCCGCTCACTTTTACTGGATTCCCTCATGTTCAGGTGCTTTTAGTGAGGAAATAATTTGTACCCCGTTGCTGCTTAATGCTTTCAAAAGTTTAAGCCTTCCTCAGTTGTCCAGGTTTGTTTTCCTTTTAATTGAGAAGCTGCAGCTTTCTAAGCCTTTGAGAAGGGCCTCTGGAATAATGTCTTTTGCTCAGAATGAAGGCTGAACTCCCCTGGGTTGGGCCAAATCCCCACTGAGTCTAGCACCCTGCTCTGCCAGTGACCAGTGCAATGGCTGCGGGAAGCCCAAATGTGGGACGCCCAGGCAATCGAACCCTCCTGCCCCTGTTCCCCAGCAACTGGAATACAGACGCACGCAGTCTGTGGTACTGGAGTTAGCATATAGCCATCCTGACGAGTAGCCAGTGGTAACCTCTTGCTCCATAAATTGATCCACCCCCATTATGAAGCCATCCAAATTGCCCCAGGCATCCGAGGCTGGTGGGAATATCGCATCAGCATCGGCAACCACACCCAGGAACAACAGACTAATATTAGGGATGGGCAAATGAGCCATGTTGGAGAAGGTTGCGATTCTCTGGATATTGTCTCTCCGTTTGCCTCTTGCTGTTCCCTGATCCCACTTGCAGCTGCTGCTCCCTGTGCCATTCACAGGAGACCTGCGCAAAGGAGTAGCGACCCGGGGTGACATCCACACACCTTCCCTCACTTGTGCGCCTTTCCTCCATACACTACAGTGGGGCTTCCGGGGATAAAATTGAATTGGAAAGGGGTACAAATCAGAGGTGAGCCCACGCACCACTGTCTGGGGCAGAGGGGCACTTCTGATTGTCGTCAGGTCACCAGCCGGGGCACGCTTACATGTTTTGCAAGCAAAGTGCAATTCTTACCCTCTCCAGATCGGCCTGTTGAAGTGGAGGAGCTTCTGCCATCACCATATCACCTCTCAGTATCTTCCACCTGAGATGCCGCACTGCCTCCTTCTGCCCAATGGTAGGGCAGGTCCTGCTGGCTAGAACTGGCATCCAGTGGCCTAGTGCCTCTGACCCTGGCATCATGGCGAGCACCTACTGGTCAAGAGGATAGCTATATGCTCCCTCCACTTCTCCTTTTTTTATAATAAGTTTTATTCAAAATGATGATCCTAAAAACAAAGAAAAACTAAAAACAATCATCAAAAACATTGGGCCTGCTGGGTCAGCCCCCACATTTTTTTTTCCATTTATGATAATTTAAAAACATTTTAAAATCTATACGAAGTCCCGTTTCTCTAGCCAATAATAAAAAGAGTCCCAAGTTTGATAGAAGTCAGTATCTTCTTCCTGCTCCTCCACTTCTTTTCCTCTTCACCTTTTGAGCCAGGAGTTGTGTCCCATTGCATGCACAGAAGAAACAGGGATAATTCATTACGCAGAGAATTACGCTCCTATATCATTTCTATTTCTTTATTTTTATTTTTTTTATTGTAAATGGCAACAAAATGAAACAAAAACTAAAGAAAAAGAAGAAAGGGAACAATAAATGTAGCCACATAAATTTGGACACAATAGTTTCAATTAATACATATGAAATTTATATATCTTTCATAAAATTAAGAATTGTTAGGTCCTCAGCCCATTGCATTATAACATTTGTTCTTCCAATGTTGTCCAAAGAGCTTGGAGAATCCATTTTTGCTGACCCTTTGTTCACTTCCAGGAA